CCCCAAAACCCCAAAACCCCAAAACCCCACTTCCAAAGATTTTTTAATCAAGGTTTGTAGTAAAAAATAAATAAACTAGTTATCTTAAATTTCATTAAATAATCATTAAAATTCATGAACTAGATGATGATCATCTGATCCACCTGTATGAGGAGATTTTATTTTCTAAGTTTTAGTAAGCGTATTTATTTTTTTATTAAAATTTTGACCTGTACTATTTAATGGTATAGTATTAGAACTATACTTGATGGCTTAATTCGGTGACATTATACTGTTAGTAAGCATAGCTGCTGATGGAGTTTGGCTGTTTATATTTTGAGGGGATTTTACTTGAATTATTGAGCTATAAATATCATAGTTTTTACTGATTGCTTAAGAACCAGTTATCTGGAGTGTAGAGGCAATGTTCTTAAGTTTTCTTCTGGAGTTTGATCTATTATTTATTTTTGAGATATTTTGAATTGCACTTTATCCTACATAAGCCTAGTATTATGGCTTACTCTTGTTATCAGAATAATCTCTTTTACTTTAGGAAGAACTTTATTATCTAGATCTGCTCTATTGAGTTCCGGCATGAGAAGAACTTTATTAACTATTATTTCTACTAGTTTTTGATTAGCTCTCATCCATCTCTTTAAACTTCTTGTAACTTGTTGAAATCATTGATTACTTTAGTACTTTATTTCCAGAATTTTACAATAAAGCTTATTAAGAAAATACCTTATGGAGGGATTTTTATTTGCTTGGGGTATTAATTTAATTCATTTTCAATTTAGTTTGATTATTTTACTGATTCTAATTCTAGAGCTAATACTTCATTGGAGACTTAAATATATGAAAGTTACTCTCTTATAAAACTGTTTTCCTCAGCTCATTAGTCGGTGATTATGGTTAAGGAGGATTTTAGTTTTTATGATTCACTTCATAACCACCATTAAAGTACATTTGAACTTGCTATGGCTATCTATTATTTTCACTATTTTAATTTCTCTTACCAGAGAAATCTCTTTACCTCTCAGTCTAAACTTTAGGCTACTATTGCTAATTCTATGATCCGCTTATCTTTTAAATTAGCTAAGTAAGCTGCATCATCTTTTATTTCTCAATATTCTACATTTCACTTTTGGCAACAGTTGGCTTTACAATATTTCTGGTGAATTATGGCTCAACATACTTTTAATTCCCCGATGCAAAATACTAAGCTTGGTTATTTGAGATAATCAACTCTTAGTTTGAATTATACTTTGTACTAAGAGGATATATTCCACTTTATTAGAACAACTGTGAATTTTAATTACTGTGCTAGGTTTTAATCTCTAAATTTTTTTGATTAGGATTTTAAACTCTTTTGTGAGTATTTTAGAAAAATTGTTATTTAGAAGTCTGATTCAACTGTTTTTATATATCTATATTGTTACTGCCACTATTCGTTTACAAGTTTAAATTATGCTATGCATCGTAATTAATAACTTCAATCGATTTTATCTGTAATTAACCTAATCCAGATGGTTAGATTAATTATTGTTGCGAAGCATTCTAAGTCTTAGTCTTTTTCAATTTCTCACAGAATTTCTCTTTATTTTTTTAGCTTTATAATCCTTAATATTTATTGACCATTGACTTTTAAAGTGAAGAAGATTCAAGTTCTAGTTAATAGTCTTCCTCAATTATAATATCATAGTGTAGCTATTTATTATTTTATTCTTCTATGTAAGATTCAAGTATCTAATTTTCAGTATGAGTGACTAATGGCTCTACTCTTGGGAAAACATAAAATTTAGTTTATGCAGACCTATATCTTCTTTCAATTTCTTTTTGGAATGAGAGTAACTCTAGGTCTTCAGCTGTAGATTCAATTATAAATTCCTACTTTTTCGTGTTATTTATTGTTTTATTATGAACTTATCTAGTATCCTAAGAAAGATATCTTTATTGATTTCCTTAATTATCAGTGTAAGTGTTTGAAAGATGCTTTATTAGTTTCTGATTCGATTAGTGAAATGTCCTTAATTATTATTTTGAATTTATGGGATTTTAATTTCTTTGATTATTATCTTTTTCTTTTTACTATTATTGAATCGCTGTTGGCTGATAGCGAATATTATTTGTATTCTCTTTTTATGGCCTAGGCTGAGAAAAATATATCTTCTCGGATGATTTCTAAACTAAATTATCTTTCAGTGGTTGCTACTACATCCTCGGTACTCTTTGTTATTCTATAGTTTTTGTACCCTGCATCACATGATTGTATTCCTAGGACCTAAAATTTACAATAAAAATAAAGAAATGTTACAATATTTGATCTGAAAAAATACTGAAGTTCTCTTTTTTAAATTGAACCTTTTGTTTTGCTAAAGGTACTGGCTGATTTTGACTCTTGTACAAATGATATAATTCTTTGATGTCAGCAACTGGATTCATTTGATTAACCATTATTATGTTGTCATTATATGGTTTCTAATTGGATTGACTGTTCATTAGCTAAACATTTATCTTTCTTTCTTGAGAATTTTATGTTTATTTCTTATCAGGCCTAGAATCTGATGCTTGGCCTTGATAATGATCTAAAATTAGAGCTGCTTTCATTGGTGAAAAGTTCTTTGTCTACTTTGGCTGAATTTTTCTGTGAATTTGATTGGGTTAGAAAGTTTGTATTTCTGTTGATTGTTACAAAATCTCAGACATTATAATATATCGTTAGTTTTAAATCAATTTAATTGCTAATCTATAAATTTTTATGAATATAGACTTAATAAATTAAGAAATCAATATTATTTAAAGAGAGTCTGATTAAATTCTCTATTAAAGAATCAAATTTCATCAACTAATCCTGGCTACGTATTAATGTAATTAGTCCACTGATTAAGTTAATTGCCTTTTGGAAACTATCCTGAGATCTCATTATGAATATATTCCAGCATCGCCTGAGCTGTCTCTTCAACTTAATCTTCTCCTTTCCACTACTTATCATGATCAGCATTTTCTTTTCCAGGAGAGGTGCCGAATCCTAATTATGTTTTTGTGTCTGAGAAATCTTTCGATCTGGGTGAAATTCTTTTAGAAGTAGCTTTGAATATCTTATCCCTGAGATCGAATAATTCATACTAAACTCTTTTCCTTTATTTCTCACTCTAGTCCAATTACGTCGTTAGCAGTTATATTTTCTCATGTAATTTTCCAATATCAATAAACTTGTACTTTTCTTCGTACATCATGACTTCTTTTCTCAATTTTACATTTTCATCTTTCATCACATTATACTATTCCAAGTACTAACTGTGTGTTTACTTCAGAGCTTCATGCTCCATCTTTTCCCTATTAAATAAATTAGTTGTTTGATCCAAATTTTGTTATAAATCGTTATTATCTTGTTTCAGTTGCTTTAGTCTAAGTTCTCTGTCAGCTATGTACTTGTCACATTCGGTATAATAGTTGTTAAATTTGCTAACGACATTATCATGCTGATTAGATAATTGAATATGCGCTTTACATTGCTAGGAGAGAATTTCTTAGAGTTAATCAATTTCTAAAGTGAAACTTCTCTACATTTCGTTATAAGATCTCTCTGCCAATCTCTTATCTCGTTCTATCTTGTCATCATATAGTTTTCTTATTTTGGCTATCTGTTCATTTTGTTTCTTCTCTGGTTAAGTTTGATTGTTTTATTCGAGAGTACTTCTGTCTTTCATCTACCTGACATCATTTAGTAATTGCTCGTCTGGCTTTGGTGGATAATTATAATAAAACTCAGTCCCGTCAGCTTCTTTGTCAATAATGTTTTAAAGGTAGTCAATCCTTTCCACTAGTCTAGCATTTAGATTTTTTATTTGATCATTTTCGAGCTTTAACTCCTCTATTTATTATTTCATCTGTATAAGTTTTGACTCTTTATTCATATAGGCTTAGTCAAAATTATTACCCTTAAGGATCTATGGTTATTTATGAGAATTCTTTCTTAATGAAAAATATGGCTCAATTATTGAATTATAGTCCATTGTCTAGTTCAAAACACTCATATTAGACCTGTCAAATGTTTTTCTTTAAGTAACAAGGTTAGATTCAGGATCATTATTTCTTGATGTAAAATCCTTAGCTATAGGGGTAAGATTTGAAAGATTTTTTCTCCTATTTTACTTTGAATCACTTGAATTCTATAACTTTTCAATCCAATTAGGGCGTCTTAAGCTATTCAAAATTTTTTATTAGTGCATAGTCAGATTACTCAGTTCATCTTCAAATTCTATAAATTCATTTATAAAGGTAACTAGGATAATTACATGGATTTTTCTAAATTGAAAGAAGATTTCTCAAGTCATTATATTGCTTTAAAGTCTTAGGATCAACCTCATTTTTATTGAAACTGGATCTCAATTTAATTAACTTAGGTGATTATTGTTCCATTATTAAATTTTAATCTATTACAATAATCCCTTTTTATAATAATCTTTAATCATAATTAAGTTTAACTTTAATATAGCTTGCTATTTCACAAATTGTCTTAAATAATAGTCACTTTATATTGACTGTCTTAATAATTAGCTTCATTATTAAATTGATTTTCTCATTTTTTGCCATATACAATACGCTCTAATTTCTTAGCCTTCTTCTTTGTTTCCTTCTTTTCTAGATTATCTCTTTGAAGTTCAATTTCTAAGTACTATATTTTAGTCATTAAATGCTCCCTCTCTTTCTCAAAGTCTTATTTGGCTAATCTCAATTTTTCATTTTCCATGCTAAACAGTTCAGTTGTATACTTATCCTTATTTATAGTATCCTCAAACTCATTTCTCTCTTTGCGATAAACATCCTATGATTCTGATAGTCTAATTTGGAGTTGAGATATCTCAGTATTTTTAGCCTCAAGAAGAGTTTTCATCTCATTATTGCAGGTTTAATATTCATCCTTAATATGCTTAATTAAGGCTTCATAATCTCTCTTCAAATTTTCTTTTTCTTACTCATGATGCCTTTGAAATTTTGAGAGTTGATATTCATGCTCTCTTATTAATCTTTCATACTTTTCATCTTTTTCTTTGAGTTAACTTTCAAATCCTTTGAATGACTCCTTGTAATCAACCTCTAGATTAGATTAAAGTCTTTGTAAAATGACCATTTATTCACATTCTTATTAAATTCTACTTTCAAGTTCAGACGATTGCTGTCTTAGTAAATTTATTTATATATCTCTTTACTGAATTTGTTCACTTGATCTTCTACTAATTTCATCAATCTCTTGTTTGAACTTTTAAGAAACTCTATGATCCGTATCTTCTCTAGTTCTATATATTTCATGCTCTTTTTAGACTTTATATGAATTAAACTCTCTCTCCAAATCAAGATATTTCTATCTGTATTCTTCTGCCATTTTTTAGTAATACTGCGCGAGGTCATTAACTTCATTTATGACAGTATGGCTAGGTGATAAAACAGATCGAGCCATGTTTTAGTTGTCATTGTAATTATGAACATTTACCTTTAAAGTATTTTTGAGTGTTTCGTTACCTCCAAGTTGAGAATACATATTTTCTTAGTTTGGAGACTTCAAAAGACTAGCTTTAGAAAGATAGGATTATTGCAGTCTACTTTACTTTCTTTCATCTTAATTATGACCTCTGTCATCATCATTAAATCTGGATAAAGTTGGTGATAGAACATTTTCTTATGAGAAAACATTATTCCTTTGTTATAGCGATTGTTAAGGCAAAAATTAGCTTGCTATGAAAAGGTTATACTCATAAAAGAATTACATTGATTTGTAAATTTAGGTGTAACTCTTGACGAAGACTATAGAGTCTGGTTAGTCTAATATGATTGCTTGGCTATCTCTCTTTGTTCTAGAAGATCTTCAACTTCAGTTTTGTTTGATCTCAATGGACTTAAAGATTAGGCATCATTGAATTTTCTTCTCAAAGGTGATCCTTATTTTATAGGAGCTATAATTTTGCTAAATAATGGGAATTTTAACTTACAAATACTATCAATTACACTTTATGAATACATCCCAGTCACTTAATAAAAAACATAAACATATATTTTAGATTACCTGGAGCGGTGTCAAATTTTACTGGTCCTCTGTGATGCTGTTATTCCTTCTCAAACATCTTATGATAGGATTTATCGCAATCATAGCACATTTTTAATGATCTTTAACTTGTACCACATTCTTAGCATTCAATTGTAGCTGGGCATTTACGACATCTCTCGCATTTATCAAAGTCTATATATGTTTTGACTCAAGATAGCTATTTTAATACACTTACTTCTATACATTTTTAATGGTTTTTTGTCAAATTAATATTATTTTAAATTTAACAACTATTTTTTACTTATTTAATTTCAGCGGGGTTTTGGGGTTTTGGGGTTTTGGGG